GAGACGGGGTTTCACCATGTTGACCAGGATGGTCTTGATCTCTTGACCTCGTGATCCACCCGCCTCGGCCTCCCAAAGTGCTGGGATTACAGGCTTGAGCCACCGCGCCCAGCCTCTTCAGTCTTTCTTATGAACTTTATGGGTGAACTGGGATATCATACGAGTAAAATCACTTCGATTTTTTTTTTCTTTTTGCTACCAAACATATGGGAACAATTTTTGTATTTGTAAGTTTCTCCTGTTACCTTGCACCTAGGAATGTATTGTGTCTAGTTGTTGCATCTAAGACTTTTCAACTATCACATTCTGGTAGTGTTGTCATGTAGAATTTTATTTCTTCCAAACATTAATAGGAAAGGAAACTGATTCATTGTCTCTCTGAAGATGAGTTAAGTTCTTCTACAAGTTCAACTGATAAGTCAGATGGGGATTCCAAGGAAGGGTAAGTTCTTATTTTTCTGTCTATTTTAATGAATACTAAATGTACATTTCTGTTTTAATAAATACTAAAAGTATTCAGATCACTGATAAAATTATAAATGGTTTGTGGCACATGCTGGAGCTAAAAATGTCTCTTTTTTGTTTTTTTGAGATGGAGTTTCTCTCTTGTTGCCCAGGCGGAAGTGCAGTGGCGTGATCTTGGCTCATTGCAATCTCTGCCTCCTGGGTTCAAGAGATTCTCCTGCCAGCCGGGCATGGTGGCTCATACCTGTAATCCCAGCACTTTGGGAGGCTGAGGTAGGCAGATCACGAGGTCAGGAGATTCAGACCATCCTCACCAACATGGTGAAGACCCGTCTCTATTAAAATACAAAACATTAGCTGGGCATGGTGGCGTGTGCCTGTGGTTCTAGCTACTCGGGAGGCTGAAGCAGGGGAATTGCTTGAACCCGGGCAGCGGAAGTTACATTGAGCTGAGATCATGCCACTGCACTCCAGCTTGGCCACAGAGCAAGACTCCATCTCAAAAAAAAAAAAAAAAAAAAAAAAAGATACATTCTCCTGCCTCAGCCTTTCAAATAGCTGGGATTATAGGCATGTGCCACCATGCCCAGCTAATTTTGTATTTTTAGTAGACATGGGGTTTTTCCATGTTGGTCAGGCTAGTCTCAAACTCCTGGCCTCAGGTGATCTGCCCGCCTCGGCTTCCCAAAGTGCTGAGATTACAAGTATGACCTACCGCACCCAGCCAAAAAGGTAAAAAAATGTCATTTCTGTGCACACATCTGATTTTCTTTTTTCTTTTTTTTTTAAGACCGACTCTCACCCTGTCACCTACGCTGTAATACAGAGGCGGAATCTTGGCTCACTGCAACCTCTGCCTCCTAGGTTCAAGGGATTCTCCTGTCTCAGCCTGCCGAGTAGCTGGGACTATAGGTGCATACCACCACGCCTGGCTAATTTTTTGTATTTTTAGTGGAGATAGGGTTTCACCATGTTAGCCAAGATAGTCTTGATCTCCTGACCTCATGATCTGCCTGCCTCAGGCTCCCAAAGTGCTGAGATTACAGGCATGAGCCACTTTGCCTGGCTGCACATCTGATTTTAATTTAGAAATCTTCAAGAATGACTTCTTAGACCTATAGATATATAGTTTTCATCAGATTTAGAAAAAGTTTGGCTGGCCTGGTATGGTGGCTGACACCTTAATTCCAGCACTTTGGGAGGCCATGGCAGGTGGATCACTTGAGGCCAGGAATTTGAGACCAGCCTGGCCAACATGGTGAAACCCTGTCTCTACTAAAAATTCAAAAAAGTTAGCTGTGCATGGTGGCACATTCTTGTAATCCCAGGTACTCAGAAGGCTGAGGCCAGAGAATCACTTGAACCCAGGAGGCGGAGGTCGCAGTGAGCCGAGATCACGGCACTGCACTCCATCTTCCTCCACGACAGAGCGAAACTGTGTCTCAAAAGAAAAAAAAAAATAGAAAAGAAAGAAGAAAACCTTTGGCTATTATTTCTTCACTCTTTTTTTTGGACTTCTTCCTGCCCTCTTAGGGATTCCAATTACATATGTATTAGACTCCTTAAATTTGTGCCACAGCTCACTGATACTCTGTTTAGTTTTACTTTTTTTTTTTTAATTAAATTAATTTATTTTTTGAGACGGAGTCTCACTCTGTCGCCCAGGCTGGAATGCAGTGGCATGATCTTGGTTTACTGCATGCTCTTTCTCCCGGATTCAAGCAATTCTCCTGTCTCAGTCCCCCTTAGTAGCTGGGATTACAGGCACGTGCCACCATGCCTGGCTACTTTTTTGTATTTTTAGTAGAGACTGGGTTTCACCATCTTGGCCAGGCTGGTGTCAAACTCCTGACCTCAGGTGATCTGCCCTCCTTGGCCTCCCAAAGTGCTGGGATTACAGGCATGAGCCACTGCACCTGACCTATTTTCACTTTTTTTCTGTTTCCTATTTCATAGATTCTACTGCTATGTCTTTGGGTTCATTAATCTTTTCTTCTGCAGTGTCTATTAATCCTATCCCATTATTTAATATATTGTATCTTTCATCTCTAGAAATTTGATTTGGGACTTTTTCTTATATCTTTGTGTGTTTCCTTAACATGCTCATGTTTTCTTCTACCTTGGCCATATGGAATATATTTATAGTCATGTCCTCGTTTACTAATCTATCAGTTGTGTCATTTTTGGGTATGTTTCTATTAACTGATTTTTTCTTCACGAATGTATATTTTCCTGCTTCTTTGCACATCTGGTTATTTTTGATGAGATGCTAGACACTGAATTTTACCTCATTGGAAGCTGGTATTTTGTGTTTCTTTAAATATTCTTGAACTTTGTACTTGAGTATAGTTAAGTTACTTGGAAATGGTTGGGCAGAATTTGTATACAAAAGCTGAAGCCGTTTCTTTCAGACCCTCTCCAAGATTCCTCTCTCACTTTCTAGTGACAGTGGTTGTTCTGAACTCTGTCCTTTCTGCAGAAAGATTGTGAGTTTTCTTGCACTTTGATCTGTTTATGGCCTATACTTTGGCTAAAAGATGTTGACTCTTCTCCATGAACTGCCTGCCGGTTTTGTTTATTCTGCATTGCTTTTAGTTTTTTGAGTTTTGTATTTTGTCCAGAGTTTGTAGTTGTTATTTGTGGAAGGATCAGTCTGTAGGAGCTTACTTGGATATTTGAAAGCAAAACTCCTGTAGGTCGTTTTGCATATAATTTTTTAATGAAAAATTCTTATGAAGCCAATCAAATAACAAGGGGATATTTTTCCCGCAGGAAAGATCAGGCAAATGAAATTAATGCCTTGGTACAATTGATGACTCAGACCCTGAAACTGGATTCTAAAGAGAGCTGTGAAGATCTCCTAGTAGCAAATCCCGTGTCAGAATTCAGACTTCATCGGAAATTTCGGGACACACTGATGCTTCATGGGAAAGTTGCAGAAGAGGCAGAGGAACTCCATTTTAAAGAGCTACCTTCAGGTGATCAGTGTATTCTTTTTTTTTTTTTTTGAGACAGAGGCTCACTTTGTCACCCAGGCTGGAGTGTAATAGTGTGATCTTGGCTCACTGTAACCTCCGCCTCCCAGGTTCAAGTGATTCTCCTGCTTTAGTCTCCTGAGTAGCTGGGACAACAGGGATGCACCACCACTCTCGGCTAATTTTTGTATTTTTGGTAGAGACAGGGTTTCACCATGTTGGCCAGGCTGGTCTCAAATTCCTGACCTCAGGTGATCCTCCTGCCTCGGCCTCCCAAAGTGCTGGGATTACAGGTGTGAGCCACCATGCCTAGCCCAGTTTATTCTACAGCAAACTGGAGAGCATGTGTTTATTGGAGAAGTGTGTCAAAACAAAGAATTAATGCCTGTAAATTTTTTTGTGTTTTTAAAATTATTTGCATATCTCCATAAAAGGTATATCCTATGTTATGCAACAGAGGTATTCCTGAAAAGTTGCATGAAAATTGATTTTTAAACGTAAATGTAAATAGATAAATGTTTGTGGTTTTTCATGTGACTTTTCTTCAAGTTAGACAGTTGTGTATTTTTAGGTTTAAGAGATGGTAGTGAACCTTAAGCTCATATGTAAATTTTAAGTCATTAATAACTTTTGTCATAGGGGAAAACGATTGTCAGTATAACAAGAAGCAGGCCTGCTGGGTGTGGTGGCTCATGCCTGTACTTTGGGAGGCTAAGGAGGGCAAATTGCTTGAGCCCAGGAGTTTGAGACCTGGGCAACATGATGAAAACTTTTGTTTACAAAAATTAGCCAGGCATAAGTGGCTCATGCCTGTAGTCCCAGCTACTCAGGAGGCTGAGTTGGGAGGATTTATAGAGCCCAGGAGGTCGAAGCTGCAGTGAGCCATGAGCACACCACTGCACTCCAGCCTGAGCAACAGAGTAAGTAACACCCTGCCTCAAAAAATCAAATGAAATGAAATAAAAATAAAATAATAAAATACAAAAATGAAAAGGCCTGGTGTGGTATAATCATGCCTGTAATTTCAGTGCTTTTGGAGGCTGAGGTGGGAGGATTGCTTGAGGCCAGGAGTTCAAGACCAACCTGGATAGCATAGACCCCATCACTACAAAACATTTAAGAATTAATTTGACGTCGTGGTGCATTCCTGTAGTTCTGGCTACTTGGGAGGTTGAGGCAGGATGATTGCTTGATAGCAGGAGTTAGAGGCTGTAGTGAACTATGGTCACAGTGCATGACATCCCCATGAAAGTGCGAGACCCTGTCACTTAGAAAAAAATAAAATACAAAATTTAAAAAAATTGTGGTGTTCTTACTGTAGTGGTAAAAGTGTTTATTTTTCCCTTTGTCTTTGTTGTTCCCTTTTAGCTATCGTGCCAGGTTCTGAAAAGATCAGGAGACTAGTTGAAGTCTTGAGAGCTGATGTAATTCGGGGCCTGGGAGTTCAGCTTTTAGAGCAGGTGTATGATCTTTTGGAAGAGGAGGATGAATTCGAGAGAGAGGTGAGTGTCTTATTTGCTATATCAAGCTGCTTATGATATAGAATTTTTTAAACAACCTTTTGAAATATAAATTCTACGTACGATTCACTCTTCTAAAGTGTACAATTCAGTGGTTTTTAATGTATTTTCAACGTTGTACAATCATCACTACAATCAATATTACAACATTTTCATTACCCCCTAAGAAACCCTGTACCCGTTAGTAGTCACTTCCATGGTCCCCATTGCCAAATCTGAAGTCATGAAGATTTATTTGTATATTTTTCTTCTAAGAGCTTTTCAGTTTTAGCCCTTACATTTAGGTCTTTGGACACTTTTTTTTTTTTTTTAAGGAAAATTTAAACTTTAGGTTGGGTTTGGTGGCTCACACCTGTAATCACAGCACTTTTAGGAGGCTTAGGTGAGTGAATCACCTGAGGTCAGGAGTTCGAGACCAGCATGGCCAACATGGTGAAAGCCCATCTCTACTAAAAATAATAAAAATTAGCTGGGCATGGTAGTGTGCACCTGTAATCCCAGCTACTCTGGAGGCTGAGGCAAGACAATCGCTTGAACCTGGGAGGCGAAGGTTGCAGTGAGCCGAGATCATGCTACTATCCTCTAGCCTGGGCGACAGAGTGAAACTCCGTCTCAAAATATAATAGAGTAAAATAAAATAAACTATATTACCTATTACCTAAAACATGAGAACTATATACATTCTAAAAGAGTTACAAATTATAGCGTCAGCAGTAAATGTGAATCATACTCAAGAATTTCTATACTGGTAGTGTTTTTTTAAATGAAATTTTATTTTATTCTGATAAAGACTAATGTATGCCTGATAACCTAGTGATAATTTATAAGTTTGGTAGTTCACAACATTTTTAGAAAGCACATAATATTAACATGCAAATAAAGCATTTTAGAAAGTTTTTTAAAGAATGAAGGGCTGGTTGGACAGGGATGGGTTGGAACAAAAAAAAAAATAGATTGAAGTGTTTACCATAATTATTTTTAAAAACCTTGGTTCATCTTGAAAGATTGATGAATTTTTTTTTTTTTGAGATAGAGCCTCACTCAGTTGCCAGCCTGGAGTGCAGTGGCGCAGTTTCAGCTCACTGCAACCTCTGCCTCCTGGATTCAAGTGATTCTTGTGCCTCAGCCTCCTGAGTAGCTGGCATTACAGGCATGTACCACCATACCCGGCTAATTTTTGTATTTTTAGTACAAACAAGGTTTCAACATGTTGGCCAGGATGGTCACCATCTCCTGACCTCGTGATCCACCCGCCTTGGCTTCCCAAAACACTGTGTCATAAGTTCTTGGATAAGCACGAAAGTTGAATGAATTTTCAACAAAATGTAATTAACATCTATGTTTTCAGATGTTACTTAGGTTAAGAAATGTGTTTTAGGATCTGCTTACCAGTTTCTCTTTTTGATGCAAATGTATAATCTGCCCTGATAAGTAACAAGGCATAGTACCCCCCTCCCAAAAATAAAAGAAAAAGAGAAAATCCATTCAAAGTGCCCAGCCAGATCGATGAATTTTTAAAATACCAGAAAAAAAGGAAAATAAAATTTCCCCCCCAAAATACATAAGAACCACTTACTGGCACTTGTATTTTAAGTACCTGGAGAAAAATAGGACAGATTTTTAAAGGCAATTAATAACAGCTGGTACAAGGACTTGCTTCCTTTGATTTAGTACCAAGTAAATTAAGAGTAAACATGCCATGGAAGACATAGTTGGGTTTTTCCTCTAACTCTCATATTGCCACACTTCTACAGACCACAGTACATCAGCAACCATCCTTGTTGCTCCACTAAGGAATCACTTTAGATTCCAATTTTTTTTGTTACTTTTGTTGTTACATAAATTAACCCATTTATTATTTTAGGCCATTGATGTCTCAAAGAGTAGAGGAGCATTTACTGGTCTTTCAGTTCCTTCAGTCTTCTGATGGTAGACTTTACTGTGACAGCGGAAGTGGTGTTGTACGTCCAGGCACCACCAGATTCCAATTTTTAAATGGCTGGTCAGATGACACCAGTAAAGTTCTTTCCCTTTAAGATAAGGTGTCAGTGAATGCTTACAGGTATCAATTTCTTTGATTAGGAACAAACAGCTCCTTCAGGAAATTCACTTACTTTCCTATCTTTGTTAACCTATCACCTGTATACTAATTATGATTGATTGCTATTTATGGCAAAGGAACATTCTCCAGACACACCTGATCTATTTACTAATGACGAAGTATGCTTACTTTACATAGTGCCATGGATTTCTCTTTTTCTTTTATTTTTGGGAGGGGAGTAGTATACCTTGTTATTTATCAGGGCAGATCATACATTTGCATCAAAAAGAGAAACTGGTAAGTAGATCCTGAAACACATTTCTTAACCTAAGTAACATCTGAAAACATAGATGTTAATTACATTTTGTTGAAAATTCATTCAACTTTTGTGCTTATCCAAGAACTTATAACATCAATTTCTGATATAACTCATAACTCTCAGTACATATGTATTTTCAAAAGAAAACAAGCGATCTTAAAGTAATATTTTTATCAATGCTAACTGGTACATTTTTATAGCAAACTGAAAATTCTGAGTAAACTGAAAGTATGTTTAACACCAAAATAAATAAAGTGTATATGGTTAGCTTATACATTTCTTAGTATAAAGGCAGAAGTGGATTTGTATCTTAAAACAAATCTGTAAATCCAATTGCTGTTTTTTTTTTTTTTGTTTGTTTTGTTTTTTTTTGAGACAGTGTCTGGCACTGTTGCCCAGGCTGAGTGCAGTGGTGTGATCTTGGCTCACTGCAGTCTCCACCTCCTGGGTTCAAGCAATTCTCCTGTCTCAGCCCCCTGAGTAGCTGGGACTACAGGTGGGCGCCAACACACTCAGCTAATTTTTTTGTATTTTTTTGTAGAGATGGGGTTTCACCATGTTGGCCAGGGTGGTCTCGATCTCCTAACCTTGTGATCTGCCTGCCTCGGCCTCCCAAAGTGCTGGAATTACAGGCATGAACCACTGCACCTGGCCCCAATTGCTTTTTTTTCTGGAATTTTATATAGTGTCTCACCATGTTCCACAATACTAAAAATGACTTTTTTTGGTGTCAATCTATGCAAAAATTTCTTTCTTTTTTTTTTTTGAGATAGTGTTTTACTCTGTCACCCAGGCTCTAGAGTGCAGTGACGCAATCTCGGCTCACTACAACCTTTGCCTCCTGGGTTCAAGCGATTCTCCTGCCTCAGCCTTCTGAGTAGCTGGGATTACAGGCGCGTACCACCATGCCCAGCTAATTTTTGTATTTTTAGTAGAGATGGGGTTTTGCTATGTTGACTAGAGTGGTCTTGAACTCCTGACCTCAAGCAGTCCACCCACCTTGGCCTCCCAAAGTGCTGAGATTATAGGCATGAGCCACCCTGCCTGGCCTATGCAAAAATTTCTGATGAGATATTTTCCCCAAATGGCATGTAATTTTTTTTTCCTCAGAATTTTATCAACTACTTTTTCTTACTGATCAAAAAGTTAAATTACTACTAGTTTCTCTTTTAGTTTTGCTGTAATACATGCTTTAAAAGTTTAAACATCTCTAATGTTTTTGAAAATAACTGCATAAAACACACTAGATGATTTCAAAAGATGGGTCTCAGTATCTATCTCATTTGACACTTCCTTAGTATCCGGAATAAATTAATAGAAGTAAAAGTAATATAATTTTCAAATAATTCATACATACTGGAAGTCTTAGGAAAAGCAGCTTCTAAATGCAAGGACTAGGAGGTTTACTCATCTTACTTGTTATATGTGTTTCTCCTCATGGAGTAACTGAAGAGCTTTCTGGCTTGTTTGTGCAACTTTAGTTGGTAGGAAAGCATATAAAAAGGGCCAAATCTTCTTGGCTTCCATTCTGGAGAATGTTTCCAATACCCCTTTTTTATGGTAATATTCGAAGACTGGCTTTGTTTGGGCTTCGTAAGCCTTCTTGATAACCATCTCTGGTTTATCATCCTCAAGCTGAATGAGAGGCTACCCAGTCAATCATCAATGCCCACAGTTGCGGGAGGGTTGAATTCAATGTTGTAGACTTGGCCACTGGTGGGATGAATTGTACTGTTTTGATTAAACTCTCTACTCTAACTATTGTTTTTTTTTTTTGAGACGGAGTTTCGCTCTTGTTACCCAGGCTGGAGTGCAATGGCGCGATCTCGGCTCACCGCAGCCTCCGCCTCCTGGGTTCAGGCAATTCTCCTGCCTCAGCCTCCTGAGTAGCTGGGATTACAGGCACGCACCACCATGCCCAGCTAATGTTTTGTATTTTTAGTAGAGACGGGGTTTCACCATGTTGACCAGGATGGTCTCGATCTCTTGACCTCGTAATCCACCCGCCTTGGCCTCCCGAAGTGCTGGATTACAGGCGTGAGCCACAGCGCCCGGCCCCTAACTGTTGTTTTTTATTTTCTGAGATGGAGTCTCGCTCTGTCGCCCAGGCTGGAGTGCAGTGGCGTGATCTCAGCTTACTGCAACCTCCACCTCCCGATTTCAAGCAATTCTTCTGCCTCAGCCTCACAAGTAGCTGGGACTATAGGTGTGTGCCATCACGCCTGGCTAATTTTTGTATTTTTAGTAGAGATGGGGTTTCACCATATTGGCTAGGCTGGTCTCGAACTCCTGACCTTGTGATCTGCCTGCCTGGGCTTCCCAAAGTGCTGGGATTACAGTTGTGAGCCACTGCACCCGGCCAACTGTTCTCTCTTTATATATTATTTTTATATATGTTATCTTTACATTTGTAAGGTTACCTTTCAGTGTGGATCAGTAGATGGGTACTGAGGCTTGAATGCAAACTAAATTCTTTGCCACATTTATTACATTGGTAAGGTTTGCCACCTGTGTGAGTCCTCTAATGTTGTGTTAGCTATGAAGTGCAACTGAAGACTTTGCCACATTTATTGCATCTGTTAGGTGTGCAGTGAATTCTCTCCAGTATGAATTTTCCAATGTCATGCAAGGTGTAGATTTTGATTGAAAATTTTGCCACATGCATTACACTTGTAAGGTCTCTCTCCAGTATGCATTCTCTGATGGTTGGTTAGGTGTAACTTGCACCTGAGGACCTTGCCATATTCACTATATTTGTAAAGTTTCTCTCCAGTAGGGATTAGAAGGTGGGCCATAAGTCCTGAACATATGCTAAATGCTTTTCAACATTCATTATTTGTTAAGGCTTCTCTGTACTATGAATTATTTGATGCTGTGCAAGGCATGAAAGTTGACCAAAGACCTTGCCACATTCATTACATTTGTAAAGTTTCTCTGCATTATGACATCTCTTTTGATTGGTTGGGGAAAATTTGTGCCTGAAGTTCTTGCACACTTATTACATTTGTAAGGTTTCTCTCCGGTATGGATTACAAGATGGGCAGTGAGTCCTGAACACTCTTTAAATGCTTTGCCACATTTGTTATATTTGTGAGGCCTCTCTCAGTATGAATTCTTTGATGTTGTGCAAGGTTTAAATTGCTATTAAACACCTTGTCACACTCACTACATTTGTAAGGCTTCTATCCAGTATGAGTTCTCCAGTGTTCTACAAGGTGTGGATTGCAACTAAAGACCTTGCCACATTCACAGCATTTGTAAGGTTTATCTGCAGTTTGGATTACTTGATGGTTAGTAAGGCTTGCAGACACTCTAAAAACTTTGCTGTCTTCACTGCATTCATAAGGTTTTCCTCTAATATGTGCTTTCTTTCCTTGTGGGAGTAATGGGAAATCAATAAAATCATTTACAGCTAGTGCTCGACTTACGACCACGATTGGTTCCGACAGACCGGTCGTAACACGATTTGGTCATAAGTTGAGTAGGCTATATGTACAGTACTGTGAAATGATGTTATAAAAATCTTTAAGTCATATTTTATCATAATTTTCTTTCATTATTGTTATATATTATAATTTTCTTTGTTCATTTTATGCCATTTGTATCAACTTGCCGGGGGCAGTGGCTCAAGCCTGTAATCCCAGCACTTTGGGAGGCCGAGGCAGGTGGATCACGAGGTCAAGAGATCGAGACCATCCTGGTCAACATGGTGAAACCCCGTCTCTACTAAAACTACAAAAAATTAGCTGGGCATGGTGGCGCGTGCCTGTAGTCCCAGCTACTCAGGAGGCTGAGGCAGGAGAATTGCCTGAACCCAGGAGGCGGAGGTTGCGGTGAGCCGAGATCGCGCCATTGCACTCCAGCCTGGGTAACAAGAGCGAAACTCCGTCTCAAAAAAAAAAAAAAAGAAAAGAAAAATAATTGATTGGTTAACATCAGGTTACTCCAGATGAAACTTCACATGATGTCAGTTGAAACTGGCCTGTTTGGAAAATTAGGCTGTTAGCTCATTCAGTCTCTCAATTACTTGAAAGACCAGATGACAGCTCAGTTTCAGTTTGGTGAGCATGAGTGACTCCATTATGATTTTTAGTCTGGACTGTTGGGCCTAGTGTTATGGGATCTTTGGGGTGTCACTTTTCTGGCCAGAAACATCTGTGGTTGATGACGCCTTTGCCTGAGTTTTGCTCAGGCCCACTGGGCTTGTTCTGCCCATGGCCTGGCATTGCATTCAGCTCATATTACCAGCCTGTATTCCCCGCCTGCCAAGGGAGAGTCAGGCGTGGAGCAGCAAGGGGTGTGAGAGTGAGCATGGTGTCCAGCAACTACACAGTCAGACACTCCAGCTGCTGCAGTGGGGTGCGCATCTTCAGGTGCCAGCATGGGCACTGGCCCTCTGTGAGGCTACAGCCAGACCAGGTGCACCTCAAGCAACTTCCACTGCTGGCACTGGGGAGCACTGGCGAAGCTTGGAGATGCCAGGAACCACAGGGCCCCAAAGAGGGTTAGTGTTGTGGGATCTTTGGGTATCACTTGGATTGGGGAGCTCCCAGGTCTGGGCTTCTTGAAGGGCCACAGCTCTTCTCTCCTCTTCACATGCAGCATGGTGAGAAAGTGGCATGTTTCAACCCCTAACATGTTTACATTACAGTTCTTTTAGCCTCACCTTTCAGTGGGTCCCAAGTTCTTGTCCTGTGACCAGGAAGAGATACAAAGACAAGTGAAGGGTGAGGAAGACAAAGAGGAACTTTATTGAGAGAACAGCTCAGAGGAGACCCACAGAGGGCAGCTCCTTTCCATAGCCAGGGTGGATGTCTCGTATGCAGCTTGTCATCTTGATGAGTGTTGAGCTCCTCAGCAGAGAGGATATGCAGGCTAATGCCAAGCTGCCCTCTTCACCCCCTCAGCTTGCCTCCGCCATCCTGTGCTTGTTGGAGCCCAAAATATGGAGGGGGACAAGGCTGCAGGGGGCTGGCGTGTCATAGCTACCCCTGGGCATGGCCTGGTTACCTGCTTTGGGGACACAGGGCACAGGGTTCCATTAGTGCCACTGCTATTCCTGCAGCTGCTCCTGCCATTACTGTTCACACCTCCCTGCAGCTGCCAGCATGATGGTAGTGGCTGTTCCTGATGGCTTGTGGCTGCCATCACTAGTGCAGGAGTTTAGTCCAAAACAGTGGGCTCCTATAATTTTTATTTTAAAATTCATATGCCATATTCTCTTAGCACCATTTCCAGAGACTTTAGTTTGTTTTCTTGAGTTGAAGCCATGCTCTGTAGCCCAGGCTGTAGTGCAGTGGCATGATAATGGCTCACTGCTCCGAGAAGCTCTGTAAACCTCCTACCACTTCAGTGAAACTGGTGAAAATTACTTTAAAAACTATTTTGGCCAAGTACCATGGTCAGTGCATTGTATCAGTAGGTTCATAGTATCTGTTTAACATGCTAGCTGTTATTTTAATTTTGAACAGTTCTTTCAATAAGCACACATTGATTGTCACATAGTACTTTTTTATTACTAGTCAGATTGAATTTTATGTATGCTAATGGTATGGAAAGGGGTCAGGGAAGTGCTAGGTACAGGAGGGCATGATCTGTGGCTCCACCCTCAGGCCTGTGCCCACAGACCTTGGTGAGAACAGGCACTCCTGCCTTTACACCCAAATGTTGCATTTCCCAAGACCACCCTGGCCTGCCACGCTCCCATTCTGTGCCTATAAAATCCCAGAGACCCTAGCAGGAACACACACACGAGAGGCTGGACGTTGAGAGGAACACATCAGCAGAAGAAGACACAGCAGCTGGACATCGAGAGGATGTTGAAGGGAGCATGCCAGTGGAAGAGCACACTGACAGATGCCAGCATGCCAACAATCCTTTGACTGGCAGAACGAGGTGGAGTTTGGCCAGAGCAGTTGAAGGAGAATCCCCCGCTGAGCGGCCGGATTCCAGGGGAAAACCATCTCCCTTCCGGCTCCCCCATCTGCTGAGAGCTACTTCCACTCAATAAAACCTTGCATTCGTATCCCAAGCCCACATGTAATCCAATTCTTCCAATAAACCAAGGCAAGAACCCTGGGTACAGAAAACCCTTTGTCCTTGCGATAAGGCAAGGGTCTAATTGAGCTGACGCAGGCCAGCTACGGATGGCTAAACTAAAAAAGCAGCCTGTAACACATGCCACTCAGGCTTCAGCTATAAACATTCACCCCTAGACACTGCTGTGGGGTTGGAGCCCCACAACCTGCCTGTCTGCTTCCCTAGAGGTTTGAGCAGTGGGGCACTGAAGAAGCAAGCCACACCCACATTGCATGCCCTGTGTGGGGGACAAGGGAACTTTTCCCATTTCACTAAGTGGTTATTTATATGACTATTTTGTAAATATATGGGATTTGCATTTACATACATATATATATTAATTTGCTGAATTATCTGTGAAATTGATTATATTTTACCTATTCTAATATTGTTGGGTTTTATTGATTCAAATAACTTTTTATATATGAATGCTATTACTGTTTTGGCATGAATGTTACAAATGTTTTCCCTAGTTTGTTTGCTTTTTAATTTCTTATGACTTCTTAAAAAATCTTAAAGTTTAAAATTTGTATATAAACTGAACTATTAGTGTTTTCCTGTATGGGTTCCACCTTTGATGTCATGCTTAGAAAAGTCCTTCTTCTTAAGATTACAGAAATATCTTTTCCTACTACATACTGATTTTCGTTTTGTTTGTTTCTCAAATAGGTACGTTTGCAGGAGCACATGGGTGAAAAGTATACAGCTTACAGTGTGAAAGCTCGCCAGTTGAAATTTTTTGAAGAAAACATGAATTTTTGAGCATTTGTCCTAATCTGCTGCCAAAATTAAAGACCTATTTTCAGAGGTTTTTGACTTAAAAAGCAAGGGCGAACAGTTATTTGGAGGCCATTCGCCACTGTTTTATATCTCTTTGGGGTTTTCTTACAGAAAAGAAATTGGACAGAACAGAGTAATATGAAGCAGGATCACAAAAGAAAAAACACCTTTGGCTTTCATATTCTATTTATGAGGACACATCTGTTGTTTGTTTGATTACTGTTTACTGAGCCTTAAACCAAGTTTATAGCTACAATTTTATTTTTCTAAGGTACTAATTAGCTTAAACACAGGGCTATAAAGTACTGGATTGAAAATTTTATATTGTAATATATAGATGAAAGTGATAGGAGAAACAGATTACTTATGTCCAGTCATTATACCTGCTATTCTTTATAACCTTAGTGAGTAGTTGATAAATTATAAAATTTTTTAAAGTCAAATCACAGTTCTGGAAATACATTTAAAGAATATGAAGTTCTAGCTAGTACCTGAGCAACTGAATTTCTTTTCTACACATTGATGGACTTTTAATATTTTATTTTCATTTAATGTAAACCTCATTTAGAGTATATACAAATTAAAACTGAGACACATTGGCTTTGTAAATCAGTATGTTTTTACATAATGGTTTTGTTAGATTTATTTTTCCATCAGTGAAAAAACATTTCTTAAACACAAATTTCATTTCCATTTAAGCAATTTGTAAGCAAAGTCCAGGTCCGCTTAGTTTTTGGATATATTTAATGCTTGTCTCTGAAGTTTGTCTTCATCTGCTTTAAGATACTGTCTTTCCATGTTTTAAATGTATGATTATATATCACATACTAGTTGTTTAATAAGAGGTAATACCCATCTAGGAAAGGAATTTTATAAAGTTAAATACAAGTCTTGAATAGTACATTCAAGGGATACCAAAAATAAATATTGCCCCTGGTATGAGTCCATCCTGAGCGGCTGTTTTTTGAGCAGTGGTCGCTTATCTCCGTCCGCCTTCTCTTCCACCTAAGTGCGTGTCACCACCCGATGGAAGATTCGATGGACATGGACATGAGCCCCCTGAGGCCCCAGAACTATCTTTTTGGTTGTGAACTAAAGGCCGACAAAGATTATCACCTTAAGGTGGATAATGATGAAAATGAACACCAATTATCTTTAAGAACGGTCAGTTTAGGAGCTGGTGCAAAGGACGAGTTGCACATTGTTGAAGCAGAGGCAATGAATTACGAGGCAGTCCAATGAAAGTAACACTGGCAACTTTGAAAATGTCTGTACAGCCAACGGTTTCCCTTGGGGGCTTTGAAATAACACCACCAGCGGTCTTACGATTGAAGTGTGGTTCAGGGCCAGTGCATGTCAGTGGACAGCACTTAGTAGCTGTGGAGGAAGATGCAGAGTCAGAAGATGAGGAGGAGGATGTGAAACTCTTAAGTATGTCTGGAAAGCGGTCTGCCTCTGGAGGTGGTAGCAAGTTTCCACAGAAAAAAGTAAAACTTGCTGCTGATGAAGATGATGATGATGGTGATTTTGATGATGAGGAAACTGAAGAAAAAGTGCCAGTGAAGAAATCTATACGTGATACTCCAGCCAAAAATGCACAAAAGTCAAATCAGAATGGAAAAGACTCAAAACCATCATCAACACCAAGATCAAAAGGACAAGAATCCTTCAAGAAACAGGAAAAAACGCCTAAAACACCAAAAGGACCTAGTTCTGTAGAAGACATTAAAGCAAAAATGCAAGAAATTATAGAAAAAGGTGGTTCTCTTCCCAAAGTGGAAGCCAAGTTCATCAATTATGTGAAGAATTGCTTCTGGATGACTGACCAGGAGGCTATTCAAGATCTCTGGCAGTGGAGGAAGTCTCTCTAAGAAAATAAACAGTTTGTTAAAAATTTTCCATCTTATTTCATTTCTGTAACAGTTGATATCTGGCTGTCCTTTTTATAATGCGGAGTGAGAATTTTCCCTACCGTGTTTGGTAAATGTTGTCCAGATTCCATTGCCAAGAATGTGTTGTCCAAAATGCCTGTAGTTTTTAAAGATGGAACTCCACCCTTTGTTTTAGGTACGTGTGGAATGTTATGATAGGACATAGTAGTGCTGGTGGTCAGACAGGGAAATGGTGGGGAGACAAACATATACATGTGAAATAAAACTCAGTATTTTAATAAAGTAAATAAATATTGCTCCAGAAATGTTTTCAGATGCTTTTTTTTTTTTTTTGAGAGAGAGTTTCACTCTGTCACTCAGGTTGGTGTGCAGTAGCATGATCTTGACTCACTGCAACCTCCATCTCCTGGACTCAAATGATACTCCCGCATCAGCCTCCCTAGTAACTGGAACCACAGTGGCACAGGCATGTGCCACGACACCTGGCCAATTTTTCTATTTTTTGTAGACAGGGTTTCACCATGTTGCCCAGGTTGGTCTCAAACTCCTGGGCTCAAGTGATCCACTCACCTCGGCCTCCCAGAGTGCTGGGTTATAGGCATGAGCCACTGTGTCCAGCCTTGTTTTCAGTTTCCATAACAAATAATATATCTTTCTTTGAAAATTATACACACACGCACAAATACTCAAAATATTCCCTTTAAAGTCACTTAACACATTTTTATGTCCCAGGTTATCTGCCAGGAGCTGGGAATATAGTGGGGAATAAAAATAGTTCCTGCCCTTTTACAGTGCTCACAGCCTGGTTTCTGATAACTCTTATTTTCATGAAGGATTTGTTAGAACTCAACTTGCAAAACCATCAAGTCCCAATGCCCAGTTGGGAGCAAATCTTTGGCAAACTTGGTATCCTTGAGCTATTCTCCTTTCCTTGCATGTTTTGGAAATCCACTTCTTTCTGGACAGTCATCAGTTTTATTTAATTTTTCTAATGTGTTGGTAAAAAATAGATACTTTTTTAGAATTAAAGGAATTTCACCAATATATATGTTTTTTGAGACAGGGTCTTGCCCTGTCACCCAGTCTGGAGTGCAGTGGGGTGATCGTAGCTCACTGCAGCCTTGACCTTGTGGGCTGAAGTGATCCTTTCACCTCAGCCCTCAAATAGCTAGGATCACAGGCATGCACCACCACACCTGGCTAATTAAAAAAAAATTTTGTGTGTGGAGAGGAAGTCTCACTGGGTTGCCCAGGATTGTCTCAAACTGGGTTCAAGCAATCCTCCCACCTCGGCCTCCCAAAGTGCTGGGATTATAGGCGTGAACTACCACACCTGACTTCTCCCATACTTTTATTCTCATGCTGTATATTTTTGTTTAAACACTGATTATGTTTTCCCACTTTGTTTTGTGGTTTACTTGAATGCTTAATTTATCTCACTAAATTAATTTTAAAACACATCCTTAAGACTATCAATTTTCTTCTGAATATACCTTTGGCCACAGTTCAGAGACTCTGATGTGATACTCTTTTGACATGAGTTCTAAAATGTCAGTAATTCTTTTTTTTTGAGACAGAATCTCATTGTTGCCCAGGCTGGAGTGTAGTGGTGCGATCTTGGCTCACTGCAGCCTCTGCCTCCCAGGTTCAAGCAGTTTTCCTCTCTCAGCCTCCCGAGTAGCTGGGATTATAAGCATGCACCACTATACCTGGCTAATTTTTGTATTTTTAGTAAAGACAGGGTTTCACCATGTTGACCAGGCTGGTCTCGAACTCCTGACTGATGATCGACCCACCTTGGCCTCCCAAAGTGCAGGCCTGCAGCACTATTAATTATATATCATGAACTATCTCAAACTCCTGGGCTCAAGTCATCCTCCTGCTTTAGCCTCCTAAAGTGCTGGGATTACACTGCACCTGGCCAGAACCATGAACTTCTAACTTCAGCTTTTACTAATTATCTTCCTTGCAGAATAATGAACAAAAGACACTTTAGACAAAGAACTTGCACTATGAGTTTTAATTGGAAACATTAAAATAGTTTAATAACTCCTAATGAATTATAAAACTTTGATAGTTACATTGTACTATCATTGATGAGGCATTTATTCTTCATCATTTACACCTGAAACTGCAGACTTGGGTTCTCTTCCTCATTTCAGAGCAAGATTATGAAGAGAAGATCTAAACTACTTACATAAATCAAAACCCAACTGGGCTAGAAATGAAATATAAAGAGAACTAAATCTATACACAGCTGTGCCATAAGAGCATTAGGTGGTTTTAGCTCATATTTGGGGTATGAAAGCAATTTAGCTCATCTCACAGGAAACAAAAGCCAGGTGCTGAATCATGAAAACCTCAATTATTTTTAGCATGCCTCTTAATTTTTCTTTCGCCTGGTTTCTTGTCTTCTGTGCTGGAGTCTTGAACAGGTAACCACTTGAGAGGATGTCGGCGATAGATGGGCCACGGAGGAAGTGTCAGCTGGGCCAGGAAAGAGAAAATGCATCAATTACAGCTATTAAAAGTTTAAAAAAAATCATTATGTATAATGCCTGGTTCCGAAACCACTCCTATGCAGAGGGAACCAAAAAAAAAAAAAAAAAAAAAAAAAAAAAAAAATAGAAAAAAAAAAAAAAAAAAAAAAAAGAAAAGAGAGGAAAAAAAAAAAAAAAAAAAAAAAAAATCCATATTCCTATAAAGGCTCTGTGCCACCACTCATGCAAGATACTGTAAGATGATGGGAACAGGCTCACTGCCTACACAAATGGCTTTAAGACCTAAAAGAGAAAAGTAAGGGGCCGGGCATGGTCGCTCACGCCTCTAATCTCAGCACTTTGGGAGGCCAAGGTGAATGGATCACTTGAGACCAGCCTGGCCAACATGGTGAAACCCTGTCTCTACTAAAAACACAAAAATTAGCTGGGTATGGTGGTGTGCGCTTGCAGTCCTAGCTACTCGGGAGGCTGAGGCAGGAGAATCGCTTAAACCCAGGAGGCAGAGGATGCAGTGAGCCAAGATCGCCCTAGTGCACTGCAGCGAGAGCGACAGAGTTAAACCCCGTCTCAAAAAATTTTAAAGAAAGAAAGAGGCCGGGCCCGGTGGCTTAGGCCTGTAATCCCAGCACTTTGGGGGGCCAAGGTGGGCAGATCACGAGGTCAAGAAACCGAGACCATCCTGGCCAACATGATGAAACCCCGTCTCTACTAAAAATACAAAAATTAGCGGGGCGTGGTGGCACGCGTCTGTGGTCCCTGCTACTCGGGAGGCTGAGGTGGAAAAATCGCTTGAACCCAGGAGGCGGAGGTTGCAGTGAGCCAAGATTTCGCCACTGCACTCCAGCCTGGCGAAAGAACAAGAGTCTGTCTCAAAACAAAACAAAAACAACAACAACAAAAAAA